TCGGGCCCCGGCCGACCAACCGCCTCCTCGGCGCCTCCGGTTAGTGTACTTGAGGTCAGCTTGGCCCCCACCCTCGCGGACCCCGGACGAGCGCTTTAGGAGCCCGGAGACCCTGCGCCCGGCTCCCTTCAAAACGGCCCGCTCCCCACCCATAGGGCCGGCTGGCCGCAGCGCGCACCCCAGGGCTCCCTGCTTCAGAAGCCGCCTCCAGAGCCCTAGCCCTCTTGCAGCCGAGCGGAGCAGGAGATCCCAGGTCAGGGCCAGGTGAGGCTCCGTTATTTTAGCCCAGGTTTTGCGGTGACCCACCTTGTCCCAGGGAAAGGCTGCCCCTGCCCGAGCCACCCCCACCTGACCCTGACTGAGGAACGTCACATGCCCTTCCAGGTTTCTTGGCCACACCTGCGAGCCATCTCCCTTCTTTCTCCTCCTTCCCCGGGGGCCCCCCGCTTTCCTTTGAAGCCGCAGCTGGCCGGGCTCAGGGATGGAGGCTGCCCTTCCATAACCGGGCACTTTTGCCCTGCTGCGCGGACTTCTTCGGAACACTCAAAGGGACTGAAGGGGCAGTCCAGGCGGCTGCGGCCCCAGCCCTGGGTAACTTCCCTCCCTGGAAGGGAATGGCAGCAACTTTATGAGGGGCAAACCGCAGCTCCACTCACTTGTGAAAGTCCCTTCGTGCGCAGTAACTTCTGCTTTTCTCTCCTCTGCAGGCTGACTGAACTCTAATGAACACAAACGAGGAAAGGCTCTGATTTCCGACCCCAGAGCCCCGAGTAACTGCACCTGCTCCCTGTTCTCCCTCGCACAGGCTTGTGTTTGCTTGAGCCCCCTGGGAGGGCTTTTGCGAACCTTGAGAGCTTAAAGCTAGGGTTCCGCGTCTGAGCACCCGGACTTTGTTCTTGCCTTGTTAGATAAACTACCCCAGCCCCGCCCCCGAGGATGGGTGAGACCTTCTCCCAACAGGGCTCTTGGAAGGGCGAAAGCAAGCCACTCCTGTCGCCCAACCCAGCCATGAGCAGCAGAGCCAGCAGCTACGCCAGCACCTGTGTGCCTTGGGAAGAGGCTGCAGGTGGCAGCTTTGTGACTTGTCCAACCTGCCAGGGCAGTGGGGAGATCCCCCGAGGTGAGTAGGCCAAAGATCTGCAAATAGCCTGAGATCCAGAAAAACGCTCTGAGCTTGGCCAGGGCCAGACCCACAAGTGCTCCGTGGCGGAGGTTAGGACTGCTTACATCAGACCACACCCCAACCCTGGCTGTATCCCCAGCTGGGAATTTCTAGCTTCTCTGCTAGGTGTCAGGCTGCAGGAAATTAAAACCTCTCTCCAGAGCTGAGCATCTGATTGGATGGTGTCTTTTCAGCAATTCCTCATACCTGTTCATGGAAATCCCGCTTGTGTTATAGAGGCGTTGGGGGCCCAGGCTCCCCGTCCTGGGCAGGGGAGTGGAGGCACAGAGGCAGCCTGCTCTGACAGTCCTCTACGAGGTGACCATGACTCGTCTGTGTGGGAGGCTACCAGAGGAAACACCGGTCATGACTAGCTCTTGGCCCTCCCCCTCCCCTTCTTCCCTCAACAGAGCTAGAGAAACAGCTGGTCGCCCTCATCCCTTATGGAGACCAGAGGCTGAAGCCCAGGCACACGTAAGCCCGTTTCTTTTCTCCCCTCCACAGGGAGCTGCCCCCAACGTCTCTTCACTGGTTCTTCCGCAGAGAGGCCGAGCCTCCCTGGGCCCAAATGAACTAGCTCCTGTTGGCAAGGATTTTCCTGGTGTCAGAAGCCCTGGGCACAGCAGACACAGCCCACAGCTCCTTAGTGTCTATCCTTGAGCCTCGCTGACACCCCTGCCCCGCCCCAGCCCTGGCACCTACACAGGACCCCTGGCCTCTGCAAGTCCTCCCAAGAGGGCAGGGCAGCCCTGGCTGCAGCTGCTTTGGGGAAGTAGTTTTTCTGAAGAGCAACCTTTGCCATGAGGCCTGTTCTCTTCCTAGCAGGGATGGAAACCAGCTGCTGCTTACTGCCACACTTCAGGGGCAGCCGTGGGTTTCACTGGGGACCCCGCAACTTGATTTTCATCTGGGTCCATTTGACATGAATCCCTGCAACCTACCCAATAGGTCCTCCACGTCACCCCCGGGGATGCCCCTCAGCCACCAGGCCCTCCCTGACCACTGCACTAGACCCAGACCATAACAACTAGGAACCCTGGTAGCATAACGGTTACAAGTTGGGCTGCTAACTGCAAGGTCAGCGGTTCGAAACCAACATCCACTCTAGGAGAAAGACTGGGCTTTCTACTCCCGCAAATAGTCTTTGAAGCTCACAGGGACAGTTCTACCCTGTCCCATAGCATTGCTATGAGCTGTTATCGACTCCGTGGCAGTGAGCTGTGGGTGTGGTGGTGGTGGTGGTGAAGGCCCTAGCCAAGTCTTCCTCTCTCATTGTAGTTAGTTGCATTGAGTCACTCATGGCTCATGGTGGGCCACCCAGGTGTGCAGAGTAGACCTGAGCCATAGGGTCTTCAAGGCTGGGACATTTCAGAAGCAAATCAATAAGCCCGCCTTCTCAGGTAGGCGCCCTGGTGGTGCTGGTTAGGCACTGGACTAACTGAAAGGTTGATGGTTCAAAGCGACCAGCCATTCTGTGGAAGACAGACGAGGCTATCTCAGAACTGTCATTGGATCACTATGAATCTCAATAGCAGGAGGTCGGTCTTCTGGGGCACCTCAGGTTGGCTTCAAACTGCCATCCCTTCAGCTGGTAGGAGAGCACTTAACCATTTGTGCCACCCAGGGGCTCCCATCTCCATGCATATTGCAATGTAGGGTTGGAGGGGTGGGTGGTGTCCTGTTCTGAATGTTAAAGTTCAGAGCTCTCAAAATCCATGTGGCCTTATTTTTACTAGCAATCAAAGCTACTCTTTGCTGAGCCTTGGGACCAGTGCTGTTCTTTATTCATTAAAACGAGTGATCATTGAGTCCCTTCTGACCCCTGGGAAACCACCCCCCCTCCCCGAGTGCACCTGGGCTCTATCAGGTCTCCAATGGCCCCTTGGTTTGGAAGTTGACCACCAGCCCTTGCTTCTGAGCTACCTCTAACTGGAGTCAAACCTTGAAACTTTGGGTTTGCAGGCAAGCAGGTTAACAATTTGTACCCCAGAGATTCTGTTCCTACGTTAGCTCATAGCAGTCTATGATGTAGGTGTAGTTCTTATTTGCATTTTACAGATGGGGAAAAGGAGGCTTTCGGGGCTCAGCTGGGTGGCTCAGAGGTATTTTCTGGTAGACATAAAGCAGTCAGAAGCCCTGGTGGTGTAGTGGTTACCCACTGGGCTACTAATCGCAAGACTGGCAGTTCAAAACCACCAGCCTCTCTGCGGGAGAAAGATGAGACTTTCCACTCCCGTGAAGAGCGACTGTCTCAGAAACCCACAGGGGTGGTTCTCACGTGCCCTATAGGGCGGCTAGAGGCCTGGGCCCAATGGCAGGGAGTTTGCTTTGGGGTACAGCGCAGTGGGAAGGAAGCTAGCCTCCCTGCCTCCTCGCTCTGTGCTCCCCGCTCAGAGCTGCGCTGGCGCCCCTTCTGGAAGGAAAGTAAGGAGTGGGGAGGGCCTTTGGCTGGAGAGGAGTGCCCAGACCCCACCTCCCCGGCGTCCTCAGTCTGCCGACCTCTCCTGCAGGAAGCGCTTCGTGTTCCTGGCCATGCTCACCTGCCTGGTGACCTCCACCTGCATCATCTTCTTCCTGTTTCCCCGCTCGGTTGCTGTGCAGCCTACGGGCCTCAACTCCTCCACCGTGGCCTTTGACAAGGCAGATATCCACCTCAACCTGACAGTGAGTGGCTGCCCCTGGGCTCCGACTCCACATTCCCAGCTGCCCTTCTCTTCGAGCCTGGGTGTGGGGAGCCAGCCATCCGGCTGCTCCCAGAGGGTGCTGGGCGTCTGCACAGCAGTGGGCAGCCTTGCACTCTTGTCTGAGGATTGAGGCTTTCTCTACGGCCAGGGGTCAAAATCGAGACCAGGTCAATTGTGCCACACAAGCAGCAGGGGGATGGAGTAGAGGGGAACCGTTTCAGGTGGGGAAGACTTAGTGACCCCTTACCATTCCTTGACCCTCAGAGGGGATCCCAGATACCAGTCCCACCTGGGGAGTGGGGTTGAGTCAGGCTGGGGAGCTAGGTTTCTGCAACTTAAGGCTTTCCCCTATGTAATGGCCTCCCTCGCCTTCGTCCCTAGAATGTCCTGAACATCTCCAATCGCAACTACTATCCCATTACTGTGACCCAGCTGGCCATCGAGGTGCTGCACCTCTCCCTCGTGGTGGGCCAGGTTTCCAAGCGCCTCCTCCTGCCCGTTGGCCCTTTGGCCAGTGAACAGGTGACTCCCTCACCCCAGACAGCAGGTCCACTGGTGGGTGGATCCGTGTGGTGGGAGGGGAGCATCCGGCTTGGCACCGACCCTGTGCCCATTTGGTTGGCAGGTGTTTTACACGGTGTCCAGCAGGCTAGAGGATGAAAATACCTAGTGAGTATCCCTTGATCTAGCTTCTCCCTCTGCCACCTTCCCTACTGAGCAAACCCTGCACGCTGGTGTTTGGCCTGCCCTCTAGTGGCCACGGCTGCAGTGTGCAAGGGTTCAGCACGTCCAGGCTCGGCCTGTTTGGAGACAGAACATAGGCCAGCATTTGGTTCATCCTTGCCATCTGTGAGCCTTGAGCTCTCTCGCCTGAGTAGCTGAGGAAGATGAGGGCCCTGTTCTCTGCCGAGGGGGTGGCCACCATGAGCCTGGGCTGGGGTCCGAGAAGTGTCGACTTTAAAAACCTCAAAAATGCACTGCCAGCAAGTCGATGTCCACCCTAGTGGACACGGTAGAACGGCCCCTGGGAGTTTCCAAGACTGTAACTCTATGGGAGTAGACAGCCCAGTCCTTCTCCTCGGAGAGGCTGTGGTTTCGAGCTGTCCGGTGCGCAACCACTGCCCCGCAGGGGCGCGCCTCTGTGGTCACCTTAGGCAGAGGGAGAGGAGGAGGGTGGGAGCTGTTTCTTGCAGGCCCCTGACGAAGGGGGGTGGGGAGAGGAGAGGAGGAGTCTGGGAGCCAGTCTTCATGTGACACCTGGCCCCACGCCCAATCTTTCTCTTTCAGCAAAATCTGTACCTGGCTGAAAATCAAAGTTCATCACGTGCTTTTGCACATCCAGTGAGTAGGGCTGGGGCCCTGGTCTCCCTTCCCCGACTCTGAGCCATTCCTGCGAACTCAGCAGTCCCTTGGTGGCTCTTGGGAACAGTAAGTCCAGCCTTACAAGAGTTGGCTGGAAGGTGCAAAGGGGCAGGGGAGGCGGTTGCCCCAGGTGCCCTGGGAGAGGAAAGGGTCATGCTGAGGGAGTGGACCTTCCTGAACAGCACAGTCGGCCACCGAGTGCCCTTTCTTTCCAGGGGCACCTTGACCTGTTCTTACCTGAGCCACTCAGAGCAGCTGGTCTTCCAGAGTTACGAGTATGTGGACTGCCGGGGAAACTCGACAGGTGCCCCCTTGTTGGCCCCCCTCCCACCGTGACTGTCTCCTGCATTGGGTACCTGCCAGTTTGGTTTCTTATCTCCCACAACCCTGTTGTGCCCAAGAACCCACGGTAGTGACTATCTTCTCTTCCCCGCACCCCCACGCCCACTCACATTCACATCATCCGATTGTCCACTGGAACACAAGCTCGCTTCCCCCCGGGGACTAGAATCTGATTCTGCCATCAAGCTCCCAGCGGAACGCCTGCCCTTTCTGGGTTGACCACTGACTATCCTGGCCCCCATTCCCTGGGCCTGGAGCCTGCTCTCCTGCTGGAATGGGCTGGAAGTTGAGTCTCCATCTGGCTTTTCCTGTCCTCTCCTCTGGTTTGACACTCAGTGATAGGAGAGTCACTGTGGGGCCATTCCATGCTGACCCAGAGCCTTGTAGGGCTTCTTCTGCCCCGCCCTGCTTTGATCACGTGACAGAGTAACGTGGCTGACTGCCTCCCAGGAGCTTGTCCCCCGCCCATCCGACAAGATGGGCCAGGTCCTTTGACCTCTGTCCTTCCTGGTTAATAACTGTCTCCAGGTCACAAGGAGGACAGCGATGTGGGTCCAGGGAAAGCTGTCCTTTCCGTAGAATGGGCCTCTTCTCTTCACACCCAGCAGGGCAGTGGCCCCTGGCCACTCCAGTCCAATGCAGGGAAAAGAGAGCCCAAGGCAGGATCGATTTTAGAGAGAGCTTATTCAAGTAGGGCTTCTGGCTGTTGGTGAGCCCAGGTGAGCGGACACAGACAAGCCAAACAATGGTCTCTCTGCCCCGGAAGCCCCAGCTTTGCCCTCCTGGGATCTTGTGGACATGAAGCTCTTCGTGGCCAATCAAAGCGACTTGGCTCCTTGCCACCCGCAGCCTCGCCCTGGGTCCACATTCTGTTCCCAGAGGCCCCTGTTCTCTTCCTGACTCCCAGGGACAGAGCTAGCCCCTCCTCGTGCTGCTGCACCAGCCTCACCATCCGGCCTTGGCTATCTCGAGATGACAGGCAGCCTTTCTCTGCGGACAGTGGAAGAAATGACTTCCCAGCATGGGTGCCTTCCTGAGAGCAGCCTGCAGGTGTTCACTTGCTAAAGGGAGCTGGTGGTTTTTGGGGGCCGGACAAGTGGAGAGAGACATGGGTGATGGTGGAAGCAGAATGTGGAGTTGGATGGATGGAGAGGTGGTTGGACCTAGCTGGCGGGGGGCGGATGGGGAGGAAGGAGCCCATGCCATCTCCACACTTCCATGCCTGGTGCCATGTAGCCCGAGAGCCCATGCTGGAGCGTCTGTTATGCTCAATAAACGACACCTAACAGTAGCCATCGAAACATCTCCTATGAGTGGGAGGGGCTGGGGTCTATGGCCCTGTCTCTCAGCCAGCCACCTTATTATGCATAGGCTCCAGTCCCCATCCCCCACAACCCCAGCCTGCTTTTCTGGCTTCTGAGAGTGACGCACACGAGCTTGTGGCCTCTGGCTCTCTAATCAGACCTCGGAGGTCCTGTCTAACTCGAGTGAAGGCCCATTCACGTTCGTTCTGCCTCAGCGCACAGCCCTGGAGGGCCGGAGTGGGCTGCCCACAGGATGCCGCCCGCTTCGGTGGACAAGAGCCATTGGGGCCTTCTGGCCTGAGCTGTAGGGGGTGACACAGGCAGCCTTTCTCCAGCGATGGCACAAGAAAGCACTTCCCAGAATCTGCCTTCCTGAACAGAATCTGACACTGCCCGCCCCCCCTCCCCAGGGGCTGCCCCAGACTGGCCTGCAGGGCACCTGTGGACTCTATTCCTAGAGCCTCTTGATCCGTGGTTCGCGACCTTCCTAATGCGTGACCCTTTCATACCGTTCCTCATGTGGGACCCCTCAACCATAACATTATCTTCGTTGCTACTTCATCGCTGTCATTTTGCTACTGTGGTGAATTGGGCGACCCCTGGGAAAGGGTCGTTTGACCCCCAAAGGGGTCGTGACCCACAGGTTGAGAACCACTGCTCTTGAGCATTTCTGCCAAATTGAAAAGATTTGGAAAGGAAGGCCCTGTGCATTTTAGAAGAACAGTCTCCCTCTCCTGCCCAGGCTGGCTAGCCTGAGCCAGAGGGCACAGCCCTGACGGCCTCCTCTTTCCACCCGAGTGCCTGCTGTGGACCGGGCATTGCACTTTGCCCCAAGGTCCTCGCCTGCCACCTCCCTCTGTTGCCTGCTACCCAGACCCAGCACCCCCACTCCCACCCAGCTCTCAGGAAGCATGGGGTCAGGAGAATGGATGACCCCAGCAGATCTCCCATTGCTGAACTCAGGCCAACACTTACAGACTGGGGGGGCGCGGGGATCCACGTCTAAGTCCTCTCATTGGCTCTGCCTAGAGCAGTGGTTCTCAACCTTCCTACTGCTGCGACCCTTTCATACAGTTCCTCCTGTTGTGGTGACCCCAACAATAACTTTTTTTTTGCTACTTCACTGTAATTTTGCTGCTGTTATGAGTCAGGCGATCCCTGTGAAAGGGTTGTTCCACAACCCCCAAACGGGTCACAACCCACAGGTTGAGAACCGCTGGCCTATAGAGACCCAACCCTCCCACTCTCTGCCCTCACCCTTTCCGTCCCCCCCTGAGTCCTCTTGTCCCCTTGCCGCATCCCAGCCTCCTTCAGGGTTCCTTCAGGAAAGAAAACTTTATTCCTAGAGCGGCTCCGCAGGAAGTAAGTGACGTTGCCACAAAGACACCGCTGCCACTTGGGGGTGAGGTGGTGTGCCGGCTCTGCTGGCGGCCAGTGTCCGGCAGTCTGTTTCTGAATCACCACTGCTGTTTATAATTGGTTGACTGAGAAGAGAGAGCCGCAGGCAAAGCATGTTAGTTCAGACGTTTCTAGGAGGAACATCAGTAACACGTTAAGAGTAGGCAGCTCCAAGCTCCTGTTGGAACCCACACCCTTCCACCCACCCAGAAACAAGCCGAGAGAGCCGGCTGCTTCAGGGCCTGCAAAATCCCGGAGCTGAAAAGTGCAGGAACAGAAGCCAGCAAGCATTAAATCGAGAGAAAGGGCAACTTCAAGGCAGGAGGGAATTGTGTGGCTTTGTGTGCCAATCCAGGGTTCGGTGGTCTGGAAGACAGCAGCCCACATTCCCTGTGTGAGCCTGGACATCCCCTGTCTAACCTGGCCGGGGCCCCACCCGAAGGACTGACAGGCCCCCAAACTCAAGGGCAGAAAAGCAGTGGGAACTGTTGATAATAAATACCCTAAGGCCAAAGAGTGGCTGTGACGCCAACAGACTGTCCAGGCCTGGGAGGAAGAAGCCAGGGAAGGATGTTCTTTGGGAAATTAGGACATTTGAAAGTGTCCCTGTAGAAATAGACATGCGGCACGGCCACACCAGCCATGCTAGTGTTGTTGTTCTGTGACAACAAGCATGTAAACCCTGTGCAGTAATAAACCAAGCCCAGCGCCGCTGCAGGAGCTCTGGTTCGTGGTCAGAGGGTCACCTATGGGACGGTCCTGTGGGTTTCCTGAGACTCGACTCGTTACGGCTGATGGTTTCAAACTGCGCCACCCGGGCTCCATTTGTACGGTAACGGGGGAAACTAGCCAGGGGCACTTTCAGCACGTGGTAGAGAATGGAACCAGCTCCCTACGGACGACTAGGAGGAAAATCTCTCCGAAAAATGGTGCTGGCAGAACTGGATATCCGCTCGCAGAAAGGAATGAAGCCAGGGCCCCCCCCCCTCAAAAAAGGGACCCAAGACTCAACCTGGAAACTCCTGGAATCAGGAAATTAGGGGACCTAGTCTTGTAAAAATTTGGGTAGCAAACATGCCCAAATGTAAGAAAACAGAGAGAATGAGGGAAGTCTCACACTCATTAAAAGCTTAGTCTCAAAAGTGGAGAAGTGTAGACTGAGGACTATCCATCTAATCGCTAAAACGTATAGAAAAACTTCAACCAAAAATATAAATAAAACAACCCGCTGATAAGGACGTGAACACAACCTTCCCCAAAGAAGACAACAGACATAGAAGATGTTCACGATCGTTTGGCCATTAGAGCTGCAAGTCAGAGCTACTCCTCGACGCCGCCTCATTGCAACCACAGTGGCACTGGCTGCACAGCACAGGCTGCTGGGGAGGTGGGGAGACGGGCTGTAAACTAGCCCCGCTCCAGTGGCAAAACGGTATGCTTCCTAGAAACAAACTGGAACCACATCTGCCCTAAACCCGGCCGCCACCTGTAGCCTACGCACCTGACCACAGTGACCCTGAGAGGCACTCCGGCTTATGTGCCCCTTGATTCACAATAGCAAACGAGAGTGCAACCAACCACAATGCCCGTCAGCAGATGAATGTGTGTGCTGGCTACCACCACTGCTCATTCTTAATGGGACACCATCGATGATCCTGGTGAGAACGGGAGAAAGGTGCAGAGCACAGTGCAGATAATCTTAAACAAAGGCCCAGACGAACTGGACCAGCTGAAGCCAGGGAGCTCCCTGAGATGATCACTATTGCCCTGAGAAGCTCTTTTAGAACATAGTAAACAAAATGAAGCGCTCATGCGTACCGGAGGATCCCACTAGCAACACCATAGCCAAGGCCAGGAGCATGAAAAGACCAGGGGAACCCAAGCTCGCTCAGAGCTGACCTCTAGGCTCCGCACAGCGTCAGCCCGAAGGGCTCTGTGTCTTCCGTTACAGTCAAAACAGTCACTGAAAACAGCGACCAGAATGCAACCAAAGCTCAACTACTACCAGTGAGCAAATGGGAACCTGCTCAGCTGGGCAAACTCACACTGAACACGTAAGGAAATATTTGAAACACAATGAACAGACTGCAGGGGCCACAAGAACTCCATTTTTGCCACACACACACCAAAAAGGAAAAGTCAACTAAGACAACTCTAAATTACATCATCTGTTGTCAGCTTGAAGCATCAGAGTGAAGGGGTGGAGTCTAGCCTGTCAATCGGGTCGCAGCTTGATGACCTCATTTGGGAGCTGTAAACAAATAGCTCACTGGAGGCCAGACCCACACTCTGCTTTGTCTTCCTGTTGACAAGCCACGTGGAGCTACGCTGATAGAGGCGGAGCTGGAGGAGCCACGTGGAAGGAGACCCACGCCAGCGCTGAGATGCTTCCACCACCCCTGGATCCACAAGACCTTCCACCCACTGGCCTGCGATCTTCCTGCAATCGGTGTCATTGCATGGCTGCCTGAGTCTAAAGAGGAATTTTTGGACTAGTAGCAACGTGTGGGGTAATATCTGACTTAAGGACTTGATCTGGACTGGGCTGTGAGGTTTTCTTAATGTACAATTGCTCTTTGACATAATGTTCTCTCTTACACACATATGAGTGTCTATGAATTTGTTTCTCTAGTCAACCCAGACTAACACAACCACCTACTACTGTTAGCTTCAACCAGTGGGGAAAAGAGGCAGTCCTAGGAAGGAGAGAATCTTTATTTGCAGAGTTACCACGTTATAATTTGGAAATGTCTGCCTTTCAACAGTGTGGCATTTCCTGGGCTAAACATGCCTCGGTTACAGGTTAAATGGTGTCCCTCCCTATCCCCCCGAAAAGGTATGAAGCTAAGTCAGAAATATTGCTACACAAGCATAGAAACCTTTATGAAACAACCCCAAAATCCTAGCTTCCTCCATTGGGGTCCCTACGCTTCTGAGGGCAGTGTTGCCACCTTCCTCCCCAGTCCCCGATCTCAGAGTGCACCACCACCGCCAAACACCTCTTCAGCGGCCTCAAGACCTGTGCCCTCGAGGTTCTTTGAGTTTGGAGAACAAAAGGGCGTCCGAAGGGGCGAGAACAGAGCTGTTGGGAGACGGGGTAAGGCTGCCCGTGAAGTTCTCGGAACAACCCTTGCTCTCCCCCAAGCACGAGCAGGTATCTTATTGTGATGGGGAAAGACGTTTCCCTGGGGTCTGGCTTGGTTCTCACCTTTTTGATTTCTTACACTACGCACCCCGGTGACTGTCTTGTGCCCCTTTGAGAAAGTCGATCAAGATCGCTCCACGGGCATTTTTTCTTTTCAGTGCCCCTAACTTCCTGAGCTGACCTCCCTGCCTTGAATTTAACTGGTCCAGCGGATCCCCTTGGAAGCCACTGGAAGTGTTTAGGGTGGCCCTTCTTTGCACATATGCACTAACAGACACAGGCAAGAATGCCAGGTGGCCACACAGACAGGTGGAAGTGATGTTTCTGGCAGCTAAGGGGCACCAGATTGCCAACAGCCACTGACAGGTGGGATGGGGCAGTGGAACAAAGCCCTTCAGGTAGAAGCAGCCTTGTGGGCTCCTTGAGTTTGAGCGTCTAGCCTCC